CTCCTTGATAATATAAGTGCTTTACATGCTCAATAAAAACATAAGAAAACCAACACAAAATAACCTCTTTTCGGCTTGTGTTCTCCAAGCATTCATTCTAAAAAGCATCAGAAATTGTATAATGCTGGAAATAATACAATAAATTATTATCAAAAAGCCACCAGTTCCCTAATCTGCCCATATTTATGTATAAAGATCTTTCTACTGATGTGATCTGCCTTTCACCTGTTACTTGCATTGCACTGTTAATAATATGAAATAGGTGTAAGATTGTGATAGGGAATAAGGACAGGACACTCAGCTTAACTTTATTTAACTATGCTATGTAGTTTATTTAAGTTCTGGAATAAGATATATATTGATGTTCCTGGAAATTGACTATTTCTGCTCTAACTTATAGCAATGAAAATATTATCAGAATGATGGCAATGGGATAATAATTATACATCCGTGTGATGGTTTTACATAATTATCCTTAATGTAATTCACAAGGTATACAATTAGGTTTTTATAGTATTCAGAGCCAGGCAAGAATGTTTGGATGTGCAATATTATTATTATTATTATCTTTTTTTATATACGAGTAGTCCTTGACTTACAGCCATAATGGAACCCAGAATTTCCTTTACAAATCAGGAGGGTCATAAATCTAGACACCTACATTACCAGACTTGACTTTTTTGCAGCAATCATTAAGTGAACACTATGATCATTAAGTGAAGAAATGTATTCCTATGAATGTTTTTTTGCTGGAAATCAGCCAAAACGATAGAAAACATCAAAAACATTATAAATCACGGTCATGTGACTGAAGAACGCTGCAGGCAGCCATAATGGTGAGCCTGTTGCTGCATGCCTGAAATATGGTCAAATGACTACATGTGTGCAGCCATTAAAACTTCAGAACTAGGTCCTAAATTGCTAGGAGGGGAGGGGTCCATTGTAACTTTGAAATTGTTAAAAAAAGCGGTTGTTAAGTGGGGACTATCCGTATAACTCAAGGCGGTGAACATACCTTACACTCTTGCCTCCTATTTTGTCCCCCCAATCACCACCCTGTGAGGTGAGGTGGGCTGAGAGAGCCCAAAGTCACCCAGCCAGCAGTAGGCACTGGATAACAAAAATATATCCACTTTTAAATAGGAAGCCTGATTGAAGATATTTCATAAATCTCATATGCTTATCAGAACATTCCCAATTATATTTGTCATACATACATATATGACCAGAAAATGTTCCACACACTCAGGTATGGCATGATTTTAAAATACCAGGCAGATCACTGATCCTGCAAAAGCCTGATTGAGGAGAGCTAAGATAAGGCACTGGAGACATCCAGTGGAAAGAAGTGTGGCATATGAAAAAAGTGTAGGCAAATGAAAAAAATCATCGACCTTGCTAACTCTAGTTCCTTTGGGTTCAGGGGCGTTGTGCCTGGATTAATCCCTATCAAAAATCAGAGGAGGAGGAGGAGGAGGAGGATGAAGAAGAGAAAGCAGAAGAACCAGAAGAGTTACAAGAAACAGGACCTCCTCTTCTCACACCACTCTCTGAAGATGCAGGTAATACAGCAAAAACCTCACCTGGCTGATTGTCTTTTCTTCTTCAGTTTTGGGAACATGGATGTTTTGGCCAGTGAGAAAGCAGATGATGGTCAACATCTGAGTGATTTTGTTAAATCAACTCATCACATGGTTCATAATTAACTTTTTAATAGAACATATTTTTCTACACACAGGACTATAGGTTTTTTTGGTAAAAAAAAAAAATAGTTCTGATATCCCAAAATCGATTTGTTCTTAACAGATATTCAAGGCACCGCTCCATGGTCTTCTGAAGCTTCAACACATTTAGTTCCTCAATATGCCCTTGCGGTTCTTCAAGCTAACTTGTGGCCTGGAGCATACTCCTTTGCTATTGGAAGGTAGGCAGTAAGGATCAGTGTAATGTTTTGATTGTTTCCAGTCATAAAAGCTCTGCTTTGTTATTTTCCATCTTAATCAATGGTTGATTTCCTTATTTATAGAGAACTGACAAGATACTGTTTTTATAGAGTTTTCACTAAAATCAAGCCAGTGGCATCTACTGAGAACTGTAAACATTCATCTTTTCCACAACAAAATTTGGGATCAAGCTAAGCAATTTTGTATACATGAGTATAATACAATGCATTCTTTAATCCTTCCTTTTTCAAGCTACCAATTGTAGCATTGATCTGTTAGAAACAAATTAAGAAGCGCAGGATTCATTCTCTGTCCATCCGCAAAATAACTCTCTGAAAACAGGACACAATAGGATGGAACTTGCTGTGGGAATTAGAAGCCAATCTTCAAAATAGGTTGCATCCAGCCAGTGTCTACAAAGAAAAAAGTTCAGGAAAAAAACTCCAGTAAATCCATATAGGTTAAGGTAGAGAGCAAGGAAGATGACTTTGACAGAGATATGCAGAAGCTGTTGCCTGAGCAAAAGGGGATGAAACATTTCCTAAAAGTCCACAATAACCAGATAATATTTGGAATTATTCAGCAAACACCTTCCTAATTCATTGAACTAAAAGGAGGTACAATGCAGACATACAAAATTCTGCTATTTCAGCCAATCTCATTAAAAGTAACTTAGTCTTCCTGTGGAGTGCATTTCCTGGTCTATTATATCTAATGGGGCCAACTCCTCCAGTCTAACCCCCCCAACTGAACATAATGCAGGGAATAAATTATATAAAGTGATTGGAATTATTGCCTTGCCTTCACCAGCACAACCACCTTCTGAAAACTGAACAGTGGGACCAAATTTGGTATGAAGCTGGCTAAAGAAAGGTTAGATTTTTAAAAACATGTGAATCTGAATTGAGGGTGTGAAGAAAAAATCCAGAAAAAAAAAATCTCCAATGAATCTCAATGGAAGAAACACACCTTTGTTTTAAGTCTCCTTCCCAGGCATGTGACTTAGCCTGGATGAATTATTAAGAAATTACAAAGAATTCCCAAAGCCATTTTCCGCATACTTTCCTCAACTTGTTGACACTAAAGCCAAACTAGTTGTACACCAATATACATGTTTTGTTGACAGCTAATAAGCTGCCAGTTGTGTAAGCAGAGGAATACCACTCTGAGTATTTTTAAAGCTATAATCCATGCATCTTTTTGAGAATGGACTTCTTTGAAGAAAATTTGAATAGATGTTCTGCCATGTACACAGAATAGGCAAAGGAGAAAACCTGGTAAGATATACTGTATATGGGTGATCAGTTTTTCCCTTTCTGGCACATTCCAGAAATAAGGGTCATGTTGGATATAAATTCTGAGGCTTGGAAGTCCCAACTTAATCAGGAAAGAGTGATATACATTGGGGGGGGGGGACAGGAGGAAAGAGGCATCACTAATTAGATGTGCATTTTTAATAATGTTAGGGTCTTCTGTTTGTTTTAGGAAATTTGATAACATTTACGTTGGCTGGGGTCACAAATACAGTCCAGAAAATTTCAACCCTTCATTGCCACCCCCAGTGCAGAGCGAATATATTATTGGGCCTGAAGTCACTGAAACACTTGATCCAACTGTGGAAGAAGAGATGGCACTCAAGGCTGCACAAGAGGAGGCACTGGAAGCAGAAGAAATGGAAGAAATGGAGGAGGAGGAAGACGAAGATGAGGATGATTAAGCTCAAAATACTGTTATAATAGTTTTTGTTAAGGATAAACTTTTCTACAACTGTATTCTGATAAACACTATTGTATAATACATTATTTGTAGTACTTTTGATGAGTAAATTAAAAATAAAACTCTGAAATAGCATTTTTTTAAAAAGCAGTATGGAATAGCAACAAATCTCAATTTTGAATTAAATTCGTTTCCAGCAGTTGCAATATATCACCAAGACAAAAAAGAGCAATGTTTCTTAATAGCTTAATTTTTATTTCAATAAGGAAACAAATCCTTAAATATGGAACTCATGGCAATCTTAAAATAATCTAACTCACAAACCTTGCTTTAAACCAGATGCAATAAAATGGTGATATTGTATGTTCATAAGCCAGTTTTTCACAAATATGAGATGTAAGGCCATATAATTCCAAAGAAAACATTTTACACAAAATTTTTGCCTTATGTTCCAAGCTCGTCCTCTTGAACGTATAAATCCTTGCCTTTTTAACCAGACGCAATAGACAATCATAGCCAAGTTAAAAAAAAATTTATTTTGTTACAAGGTTACTTCGGATTACACATCTAACTACAACAGCATTTCAATTTGACCCGTTATGCTGATGTAACTTATTTGGCCTTCTGGTTCTCTGCAACGCGCAATCCCAGAAGTTTGGTTTAGCAAACAATGATATACTGACCATAGCTAGGCATGATCAGTTAACACAGCCATTATTTGTAAATTGGCAACTGACAGAGGAAGTGGGGACACTATCTGAATCAACCCCAAAACTGGAGCAGATTGAAAGACAATCGGCTGGAGTCCCTCGGACTTCTTGGCAGACTCTCGTTGTTTTCTGGTCTACGAGACGAAAGCGGCTTTTCCCAGACTCAACTCTCCCGCCCTGAAAACCATCTAAAGCCCTCTCATTTTGCAGAGGTTAACATAAGGACTCACTCAGCCAATCAGCATCCACCTTCCCGTTTCTTCCTCCTAAGGCCCGCCTTTTTAACCCTATCACTACTGCCGCTTTTTTTGTAAAGGAAAATAATACGATATATATATATATATCGTATTATATATGCTAATTTTTCACACTTCAGGAAGAAAAGTGATCGGAATCCGTGCAATAATGACTTCTCATATAATGATTAATTACATCCCTTTCCTTCCTTACCACCCCTCGAGAGCTTGGATCCATTCGCCCTTTACTACAACCCTCTGTGAAATAATGGTTCAGTCCACCTTGGGCGGAAATGGTTCTTGCCTCACCAACCGACCAATCAGAAGAGACCTGAGAGAAAATTCAAATACTGAAGCTCAATTTAAAAAAGGAAAGTCCTAAGAAGCGAAGCAAAATGGAGGAAGGTGGTGTTACCGTTTGCGTGAGAGTGCGGCCACTAATTGCAAGGTGATTTTATTTTGTTATATTAGATGTAGATTATCGCTGGTTGCCTTTTTTATTTGCTGTTTCGGGGTCTTTGATCGTCAGTTTTGTAGCCTGCTTTTCCTCTAATTCAATGTAGCATTTGTAGGATTCTCATTTCCAATTTTCCCTTGTAGTACGGAGCTTATAAAAGTAAGTTAAGCAGAGGGAGAGACAGAAGGAAGGAACTGGCTTTATCCAGTATATAGGGAGGGAATAAGCCCCACCCCTATTCCCCTTCCGGGGGTCAGTATGATGAAATGTTTAATATTAACTATGATCTGCATGATTTGGATTCAGGTCTAACCTATCTGTTCTATCAAGTTTTCCTGAAAATGCTTCTCTGTCTGAAATGCACTCATTATGGAGAAAATCTATCTGGTTACTAAGAATGGACACAGACTTGTTATTATTCCCATTTATAATTGGTTAAAACGTAACTCTGTATACTATTTCTCATGTTAGTTTACACACCAGCTTAGAGCTTAGTATGCGTTTTCCAGATATTTTGATGTCAGAAACTACAAACCTTGTACCAGAGTGAGATCCACCAACTTAAAGCCCATTAAGGGGCATATCAGTTTAAGGGGAAAGGTTTCTCTTTATTCCTGAAATAATCTACTGACCTGAAAACCCTGATTCGTTCTTTAAGAGAAAATGAAGACCTTGATGAAAAAGGACAGGTTTCATGGAAAAGTGAAGACTGTATTGTATCACAAATAGATGGAACCAGGTCATTTGTCTTTGGTAAGCTTTGATAACTCCTGAAATGAGTATTTGTGTGATTTTCAGCATGAGTATAGTAATGTACTAATTACTGTAGTAATTATACTATATACTATACGTTAGTATATAATATATACCTAGTACTATATTACTATGGTAATATAGTAAAGTAATAGAATTTATAAATGGAATGTCTTGATTAATTAAAAATGCCATACTAAATTTAGTAACTAACCCTCCTGATCTTTATGCATTTTATATGTGTACAGCAAATGCATACTGATTATTTTTAGGAGATGCATTGAATACAATTCATTGTTTTGGTAATCTAACCTAGTCTGTTTCTCTGGTGGCTAAAGGAAGGAATGAAGGGAGTATGTCACTCTTCTTTCTATGCCTAGAACAATGTTTCTTGTAAATGTAAGGATGAATAATAATATTTTGACTTGTTTAGTTGCACTGCATGCACTGTTATACCTTCTGTTACTTGTGTTCATGCTACATTCTATATTACCTTTAATTTTTACCTCCAAGAAGTAGCTGTTTTTTGGATCTATTAGCCCTAAAAACCAGGAAACTATGAGCTCTAGACTTGACTTGGGCACAATAGTTGTTTGGGTGTCAGTGGGTTGTCACTTTTCTTAGCCCAACCCATCTCACAGCATTGTCATTGTGGAGAAAAGATTGGTAGATAGATAGGAGCAATAGGTTTGCCTACTGATGACAAAAATAAAGGTGAGACAAAAAGTTAATTAATCAAAAGGTGAGTAATTTTCTCTACTGATGCTTAAACATCAGTAGAGAAAATTCCATTCTTGGAATATGGTAGATTTTTATAGAGGCCATCATTTTGGTGATACATTTGTTACTTTTCTCCTTGCTTAGCGACCTAGTTTTCTGTCTTGAGTTTTGCCACTAAACATTATAACTGTTAAGATTGCTGCTCTGTTGTTCTATTTTCAGCAATTTTTTTAAATTACAAATGAGATTTTCCTGTACTTTAAGTTTTTATCGCTTTTTCAGTTTTTCTGCTCTCAAACTGATTTCATTTTTCAGTAGTTCCTTTTCTGGAAATTTTCTGATCTCAATTTTTGTTCTGTCTCTGGTGAATTTTCATACATTTTCATTTGTCCTCAGAAAGATGAATGCAGTCCATTTCCCAGGTTATATTCAGAATAAAAAACTATAATCATTAAATGTAATACTGTATTAAGGATAATACCTATGATTAGCATAAACCAAATAAGTATACAAATGCTAATACCTATTATATAGGCCATTCACAATTGTTGCTCATTGTTGGCATAATACATCCTCAAGCAATTGGCTTTGAAAAGCTGAGTGTGCAAAGCTGCTTCAGTTTACAAAGTACTAGTAGTCCTTGTCTTACGACCACAATTGAGCCCAAAATTTGTTTTTAAGGAAGACAAGTGAGTTTTGCTCCATTTTACGACCTTTCTCGCCACAGTTAAGTAAATCGTTGCAGTTACGTTAATAACATGATTTTGAAGTGAATCTGGCTTCCCGATTGACTTTGCTCATTACAAGATCACAAAAGGTGATCACATGACCCCAGGACACTGCAACTATTGTAAATATTAGTCAGTTGTCAAAGTGTCCAAATTCTGATCCAAGGGATGCGGCAATGGTCATGTGAAAAATGATCGCAAGTTGCTTTTTTCAGTGTCATTGTAACTTCAAATAGTCACTAAATGAATGGTTGTAAATCAGGGAGTACCTGTATTAGTCTGATGATTTTCAGGGACTGGGCACAGTATTTACAAATTAAACTTTTTGCTTTCTTTTGAAGATCGTGTGTTCCACTCTGAAAGTAGTACAAAAGAAGTCTACCAAGGTGTGACAGCTCCTATTATCAAGTCAGCGGTTCAAGGATATAATGGTACTTTAAATAATCATCCTTGTGCATATTTCTGCATGTGGCTATTCATTTGAACTAATCATTCTGTTTATTTTTAGGGACTATTTTTGCTTACGGTCAGACAGCTTCAGGCAAAACATACACAATATTGGGTACCAAAGATAGTCCAGGTATCTTACCCATGGCAATTAATAATGTCTTCAATACTATCTGCAGAGTAAGTGATTCTACTTCATGTTTATATTTCAGCTAACCAATGCTTTTGCAGAAATAAATATGACTGGTATTGAAACTGCAGCTGTGAGTTCCTAACTTCTCATGCCGGCATTTTACAGGCTGTATCTCGTGATTGCCATCCCAGAGGCTACAAGAAAAATGAATGGAGGGTTATCAGAGAGTCCCTCCCTCTGGTTTCCCAGCTCCATGCAAAACATATGCTGAGTTCAAAGCAACTTTTCAGAGCCCATTGTAGAAGCTGTGAATGTTCTTTTGATTTAATATTACTTGTATATCTTTTAAGCGCGTAATCAGAGAGGCTTCTGTGTAAAGCTCTGGCCATTTGTCCCAAGCTACAATGTGCACAGAGGCTTATTGTGGAAGAGAGGCTTGGGGGTATATCAAGGGGGGCTGCCAGAGCCAAATTCAAACTACAATATGCTCAGAACTCTCATTGGAAAGGGTGCTCATCTGCTCACAAAGAGTTGGAGTCATAGTGATCATATTGGAAGGCTAGCTAAAGAAATGTGGAGCAAAGTCATTGGTTTGCTTTCAGATGTAACTAGCCATACCTGGAAAATAATTTTGCACGAATGCCCACAATACAGGTTGTCCTTGACCTACAATCATAATTGGGGCTGGAACTTCCATTGCTAAGCAAGGCAGTTAAATGAGTCGCCTATGATTTTGTGACCTTTTTTTGCTGCAGTTGGTAAGCAAATTTGGCTTTCCTCATTGACTTTGCTTGTCAGAAGCTGACTGGGAATATCGCAGATAGTGATCATGTGACCCCCATTGTAAACTGCCAATTGCCAAGCACCAGGATAATAATGATGCTGCAATGATTGTGTGAGAATGGTCATAAGTAATCTTTTTAAAGTGTTGTAATTTTGAGTGGTCACAAGTCAAGGACTACCTATATGATTTTAAAATTCAAAATAACAGCTACAAGCTTCTTTCACCAAGTTTTTTAGTCACATAAAAATAGTAGCGTTTAAGTTCAGCATCTAGGGGAGCACATTCTTGGGACTGTCACAAGTTGAATTAAAAGACTTTTTGATCAGAAAATTCTTATGAAGAAGACTGTGTTATCAATGTATAAATTTGCCTTTCTTTAACCATGAGTCCTCTGATGTTGGACTTTCATCATCGCTGACAAAGATGACTTGATGTAATTAGAGTTGTAATCTAACGAGTAATAAAGCATGGCTGGGAATGCAAATAGGAATGCTTTATGATTAATGGCATTGACAATAAAAAATGTATCTGTGGAGCAAGTTGTCTTCAAACTTATTATTATTATTATTATTATTATTATTTCAATTTATATCCCGCCCTTCTCCCGAAGGACTCAGGGCGGCTCACAACATTATTAAAACAAAGAAAGACCCACACACCCCACCGAATAAAACCAAATTAAAACCAAAATTTTTATGTTGTGATAATTAAAATTTCTAAAAAACCCAGTTTAAAAATCCTCCCTAGGCCANTTCCACTCTGAAAGTAGTACAAAAGAAGTCTACCAAGGTGTGACAGCTCCTATTATCAAGTCAGCGGTTCAAGGATATAATGGTACTTTAAATAATCATCCTTGTGCATATTTCTGCATGTGGCTATTCATTTGAACTAATCATTCTGTTTATTTTTAGGGACTATTTTTGCTTACGGTCAGACAGCTTCAGGCAAAACGTACACAATATTGGGTACCAAAGATAGTCCAGGTATCTTACCCATGGCAATTAATAATGTCTTCAATACTATCTGCAGAGTAAGTGATTCTACTTCATGTTTATATTTCAGCTAACTAATGCTTTTGCATAAATAAATATGACTGGTATTGAAACTGCAGCTGTGAGTTCCTAACTTCTCATGCCGGCATTTTATAGGCTGTATCTCATGGTTGCCATCCCAGAGGCTACAAGAAAAATGAGTGGAGGGTTATCAGAGAGTCCCTCCCTCTGGTTTCCCAGCTCCATGCAAAAAATATGCTGAGTTCAAAGCAACTTTCCCGAGTCCATTGTAGAAGCTGTGAATGTTCTTTTGATTTAACATTACTTGTATATCTTTTAAGGGCGTAATCAGAGAGGCTTCTGTGTAAAGCTCTGGCCATTTGTCCCAAGCTACAGTGTGCACAGAGGCTTATTGTGGAAGAGAGGCTGGGGGTATATCAAGGGGGGCTGCCAGGGCCAAATTCAAACTACAATATGCTCAGAACTCTCATTGGAAAGGGTGCTCATTTGCTCACAAAGAGTTGGAGTCATAGTGATCATATTGGAAGGTTAGCGAAAGAAATGTGGAGTAAAGTCATTGGTTTGCTTTCAGATATAACTAGCCATACCTGGAAAATAATTTTGCATGAACGCCCACAATACAGTTGTCCTTGACCTACAACCGTAATTGGGGCTGGAACTTCCATTGCTAAGCAAGGCAATTAAATGAGTTGCCTATGATTTTGTGACCTTTTTTGCTGCAGTTGGTAAGCAAATTTGGCTTTCCTCATTGACTTTGCTTGTCAGACGTTGACTGGGAATATCGCAGATAGTGATCATGTGACCCCCCTATTATAAACTGCCAATTGCCAAGTACCGGGATAATAATGATGCTGCAATGGTTGTAAGTGTGAGAATGGTCATAAGTCATTTTTTTTAAAGTGTTGTAATTTTGAGTGGTCGCAAGTCAAGGACTACCTATATGGTTTTAAAATTCAAAATAACAGCTACAAGCTTCTTTCACCAAGTTTTTTAGTCACATAAAAATAGTAGCATTTAAGTTCAGCATCTAGGGGAGCACATTCTTGGGACTGTCACAAGTTGAATTAAAAGACTTTTTGATCAGAAAATTCTTATGAAGAAGACTGTGTTATCAATGTATAAATTTGCCTTTCTTTAACCATGAGTCCTCTGATGTTGGACTTTCATCATCGTTGACAAAGATGACTTGATGTAATTAGAGTTGTAATCTAACGAGTAATAAAGCATGGCTAGGGATGCAAATAGGAATGATTTATGATTAATGGCATTGACAATAAAAATGTATCTGTGGAGCAAGTTGTCTTCAAACTTATTGATGAATATAATATCTTATAACTTTTAGATTCCAGATAGGGAATTCCTACTCCGTATATCATACATGGAAATTCATAACGAAACTATACAAGACTTGCTATGCAGTAACATTAGGAAAAAGAAGTCATTAGTGGTTCGTGAAGACATCAATGTAAGTACATGAAGCTGGACAAATCCACACTTCTAGTGCTGCTCTCCAGCAAGCTTTCCCATTGTAGCCACTCCCTTGCTAGTCTCAACTACTCTAGATTGTTCCTGGGCTGGCCAGGATTTTCTGAGGTTTTGTTCATGGTTGAGCCATTGAGCCCAATTATGTGTGCAAGTACAAGGCACAATACTCACAACTGATAAAGAATGTTGATTGGTATAATAATAACCGAATGTTTCATTCTCTTGTAGAGGACAATCTATGTTGAAGATCTGAATGAAGAAGTAGTGGTTTCTCCAGAGGAGGTCATGACCTGGCTAAAGAAAGGAGAAAGTAAGATTTGCTATCTGATAGTGGTTTAAACACACCGAGCATTATATGTAAATCTCAGATTTCTAGATCTGTTAAAAGTCTGGCCTCTGTATCTGCAAATGAATACATACCATCTTCAATACACTTTTCTTTATTGTCTCCTCCCTGCAGATGGATATTCCTCCATACACACAATCTATCTTTCTTGTCCACATGGGCAACATACGCATGTATGTTCATATATAAACTTATAGCACTTAGACTTATATACCACTCCATAGTGATTTACAGCCCTAAGTGGTTTACAGAGTCAGCATATTGCCCCCAACAATCTGGGTCCTCATTTTACCGACCTCTGAAAGATGGAAGGCTGAGTCAATCTTGAGTCCATCAGGACCGAACTCCAGAATGTGGTCAGAGTTTGCCTGCAATACTGCATTCTCAGTAGTGTGCCACCAGGGCTCCTATATAACTTTCTTTCTCCATCCCTCAGGCACACATGCAAATGAAACCACTATGCTGAAATAGCCATTGGTATTGTAGTACATTTTAGCCCTTTCCTTGAAAATGAAAGATGAGGAACTTGCTGTGCTGCTACCCCTGTTCACAGTGGGAGTGGGATGTTCTTCCGCTCTTTGAGGGAAAATAAAGAACTGCTGTGAAAGTTCCCAGAAAAGAGGTGCAAAATTGGAGGGGTTATTTCTTCTTTCATTTCTAACAAAATAACAAAGTTGGAAGGCAACTTGGAGGCTGTGTAGAAGTTTAGTGGGTATGGTAGGTGGGGAAGGGGAGTCAGATGTGTTTGTAGGCACCATTTGTTGAGCTCTATTTTATGGGAAACGAGAATAAGTCAGAAGAGAAGACTAGGTATAAGAATAATCTGTATCTAATTTTTCTTCTAAACAGAAAACAGACACTATGGTGAGACGAAAATGAATGAAAGAAGCAGCCGTTCTCATACAATTTTTAGAATGGTAAGTGATTGCTATGTTCCTGGTTTCATTTAGTTCATGCCGCAGTGTTCAGCAGCATCTGCCATGCAGCTACTAAATAAGCACATTATACAAAAGATTGAATGGCACATATCTTCCACCAAGTAAAGAAACCTGGGCCGAAGACCATATAGATTGAGGCCTTTCAATTTTTAGTGACTCCTGTAGGGCAAATAAGGCCACAAGTCTGATGAAGAGGTTTTAGAATTTATGGTGATAAATTTAATGCTCGCTTGGTGATTTTGAGGAGCATGTTCTTTATTTTTATTTGGCCAAACTAGAAATCCTGTTCCCAGACAAATGGCTATTCAGTTTTGCTTGAAAACTACACTGACAGAAAACACCCTTAATTCTAGGAAGCAGTTTGTTCAATTGATTGATAGCTCTCAAGGTCAGGAAGTTCTTCATTATTTTGAGTTTGGTTCTCTCTGTGTAAAGCTTTCATCCATTGGTTCTTGTCCTATCACTCTGAAGAATCAATCCACATTCCTGCTAATAGTATTCATATCATATCTCCCCTTAGCCTCCTTCTTCAGACTTTGGTAGGGCTTTATCTTCTAACAATAAGTAGGAACCAATAAATACAATCCCTTATGGGGAACCTTATGCTACAAATAGCTTCATTCAGTTGAATTGAGACAACATGGTTTTTGAATGGTGTCAGGCTAGGAAAAGCTGCCTCCTGTCCCTTAAGGTAGGGGAAATTGACCTGGTACACACAGTGTACTAAAATTAATATGATGTGTGATTTCATTTTAATTTTTGTCTAGCTTTGTTCTCTAATGTATAAAAATGTTGTTAAATCTGGTTCATGATATCTTTTTTTTAAAAAGATCATTGAAAGTAAAGAAAAGCATACTTCTGGCTCAAGTTATGAAGGAGCTGTAATGGTTTCTCATTTGGTGAGTTATTTGTAAGATGGCACATGGGTTATAATAAGTGGGATATGATAGTACGCTGGTGTAACTTTATAAACATTAAGTAACAGTTATGTTCTGATTTATATTCAGACTGGATAGGCTAATAAATTTCTAAAATGCATCCCATCAAATTGTTTATATTAAAAAAAGTGACAGGAAGTTCGTGTAAGACAAGGCTGAAGCCGCCATACCTAATGATGATGATGGCATAGAAGCATGGCGGACAAAAGCTGGAAAAAGCTCTCTCGGGAGAAGTACCGTAGTTAAGAAACAACCAAGTTGTTAAAGAAACAAAAAATGTCACCTGAATCAGACAAAAGAAATTGGGCCTGAGCACATGGGAAAACCTTCCCCATCAACAGCTACCAGAACAAAGCAAGGACTTGGGGGGATAAAATGGGTCCTCAAGCCCACCCACTCTTTGTCGCCTCTGGACCCAGACTTGGCGACTTCCGTCTCTCTGGCTGGTGCCTGCCAAACTAATTGAGGATGTGGTTAAGTATGTATGAGTGCACATGTGTGAAAGAAAATATATACACTGTAGCCAGTAAAGTTTGCTATTATTTTAAATCAAGTGGGTCTTTGTATATTCTAAAGAACAGTTTGTGTCTCAGTGTTCGCTTGAAAGTGATTTGAGTAAGTGTGATCATAAGCTAAACTTGGGAGCACTGTGTAATGCTTGCTTTTTTATATTTAGCTTATATTTTATAAGCTAAACTTGGGAGCACTGTGTAATGCTTGCTTTCTGAATTTCAGTAAGTTTGACTCATCAGTTCTAATATTTGATTGTGCTCTTCAGCAAAATAGTTTAAATAAAACTAAGCATAACAAATTCTGTCTCTATTTTTCAGAATTTTGTAGATCTGGCAGGAAGTGAAAGAGCTAGCCAAACAGGGGCTGAAGGTATGTGTTTACTCTTCAGTGAGGATTTTCTGTAATTCTATAGTAAGTTCTTAACTTATTGTCTTAAGTCGGGGGTCCCCAACCCCTGGTCCATGGACCGGTACCGGGCTGCGGCATGCCAGCAATCGGTCCGCACAAACAAGCAAAGCCTCAACCACAAGATGCAGGCAGCACATAAAACTACGCCCCCTCTGGACCGCGGAAAAATCTCTCTCCACAGAACTGGTCCCTGGTGCCTAAAAGGCTGGGGAACTCTGTCTTAAGTAGACTACATTCATATCCTGCCATCTTCAAAGGACATCCTTAGACTGGCATAATCATACATTAGAATTCTCCATTTGTTTTCTCCACACTCTCTAAAGTAAAAAGATTCTTCCAGAGAAACTCCTGTTTTGAATTACAGGTAGTCCTTGACTTATAACAGTTCATTTAGTGACCTTTCAAAGTTACAAAGGCTCTGAAAAAAGTGACTTATGACCATTTTTTACTTACGACCATTGCAGCATCCCCATGGGGACATAATCAAAATTCAGATGCTTGGCAACTGACTCATATTTATGACGGTTGCAGTGTCCTGGGTCATGTGATCACCTTTTACCACCTTCTGACAAGCAAAGTCAAGGGAGAAGCCAGATTCACTTCACAATCATGTTACTAACTTAACAATTGCAGTGATTCACTTAACGGTGACAAGAAAGGTTGTAAAATGGGGCAAAATTCACTTAACAAATGTCACACTTAGCACCAGAAATTTTGGGCTCAATTGTCATAAGTCAAGGACTACTTGTAAGTGTAATCATGTGGGAATAAAGAGATTACACATAATTGTCCATTCCTAAATGAATGGCTCTTAATAGAGGGCACATACTGATCACTAGCAACTGTAATGTTATATCTGCATCAACTTAAACAGCCATTGTTGGCTAGAAATGTAAGAATAAAATCACAATACAGATATTTTTAATCTGTGCTAGATTATGTTCTCACTTCTGCAATCATTAAAGGTTAGATATCCTAAACTATTAATGCCCTGCTATCAGAAAGGACAAGTTTAAAAGGAAACTAGACAAATTCATGGTGTGCAGGCCTGTTAAGGGCTCCCAGTTGTGGTGGCTATGTCATCTTTATTGTTGAGGTCCATACTTCCTAATTCCAATTGTTGAAGAATCTGAATGGAGAATTGCATTCACTCCTACTTTCTTGTAGGCTTCAAAAAGGATCCATTTGGTTACTTGTTTTTTTAAATCTACTGGACTGTGTGGGCTGTATATTTGATTCAGTACAACTCTTCATGTGGCCTTAAAATAAGAACCAATTTATGATGCCTTAAATTGATACAGCAGCGACTGAAATGGTGCTTTTTATGTATGTTCTTAGGAATTCGACTTAAAGAAGGGTGTAATATTAACCGGAGCCTCTTCATCTTGGGCCAGGTTATCAAGAAACTTTGTGACGATCAGTCTGGGTAAGAAAAAAACAATTCCTGTTTCAATTGGAGCAGCAAAAAGTTGATGAGCTCTGAATCTCCCCTTTTCCAACTTCAATTTTTAACATGCCTCTTTTCGCATTTTTTCATCTAGATCGTTTTATTATTGCGCTGATTAGTGTTCTCACTTTGTCTAAAGATAATGAGTTGGCTGTTGAACCAATTTTCCCTCAGCCTTAGCCATAATATTTTATTCTTCTTTCTCTCATCCCCTTGCACCAGAGGCTTTATAAACTACAGGGACAGTAAGCTAACAAGAATTCTTCAGAACTCTTTGGGTGGAAATGCTAAGACTGTTATCATATGTACAATTACACCAGCATCGTTGGAAGAAACTCTTAGCACGCTGCAGGTAATTTTTAAATGTTCCTGCTAAAAGAACATTTTGGGTATGGATAATCACAAGCAGAAAAGTGCAAAGGGCAGTTATCGCTTCAAAATTATGTGCCACGGTTATTTTTATGATTATTTTTATATATTCTCCCCAATTGTTGTGCTATGTGTTTGCTAAAATAACATTTTGGGTATGGATAATCGCAAGCAGAAAAGGGCAAAGGGCAGTTATCACTTCAAAATTATGTACCACAGGTATTCTTATGATTATTTTTTATATTTTGTGCTATGTGGAAAAATGTGAGTATATTCTACTTTTTTTGTTGATTTGTTGCATTTTTGTTTACCTTCCAACATCAGCCTCACTACAAACCGTTTCTGAAAGCTTGTAGAAGTGAACTGCTCCTCCTTAGAGACAGATAGCTAAAAAGTATTGGGGTATCAGAGCTCTGTACAGGATCTGTTCATACATAGACCTAAACTTAAGAGTGTGCCGGGTAAGAATTTGTGGCATTCCAGGGCCAGTCTATGAATTAGTCTGATGAACTATTGACTGACCCTTTCTTGGAAGTCTTGCATAGTAAATCATCAAGCAGCAGAAGTAGCCTCCCATGGTTTTTACCTATTTCTCAATTTTGTTTACACAAAGTGCTATGGGGGGGGAATCTTCATAAAGAAAGAAATATACATTAGAGTAGAAATATACAGTAAGAATAATATGTTTTCAATTTATGGATCAAACAAGATTTAAAAAAAATATACTGATTTTTTTATATTACTGGCCTTCTCTACATATCTTGTCTCTTCTAGTTTGCTAGTACAGCTAAAAATATGAAGAATACCCCGAAAGTCAATGAAGTTCTTGATGATGATGCTCTTCTAAAGAGATACCGTAAGGAAATAGAAGATTTGAAACGCCAACTGGAAGAAGTAAGTTGCCTAGTCTAAATGAAGTGTGTGTGTGGGGGGGGGGTGTTTCCAGGCCAAATCCATCTGAAAGCGTGCCCCTTGAAAGTGTTCCTGTTCTAAAAACCCATAGGATTCATAGGAATGGTACATGTCACAAACTTTCAAACTCTTAACTTCATTGCCTTCCAAGAGAACCAATGATTCATTATGTATGTTTAGATGCTAATTTCAGTTGAATCTGACAAAAGTATTAGGAAAAACTGAAAAAAATGCATCTAGGGATAGCAGGAGTACAATCTGAACAGAAATTCTAAGAACCAGTGAAGAAGCTGGACAGAGTTATTTAGTAGAACTCCAAAACTTGTGGGTTCCTGACAGCCACAAAGGAAGGGAGAAGCTTCTTATGTTTTAGTAATCTGTAGCTAACTCTTTTTATTTCTCCTCTAGTGGCTTTAATTTTTAAATTTTCCTCTTTGTTGGGGACACTGGGAAGCTGGAAGGTGTTGATCCACTGGACATTTGTCTTGACTTAGAAAGTAACTGATCTTTCTATGATCTCCATCTGAAGAAGTCAAAAATATCCTCTTTTTCTTTGGACACCTTACCATACCATAGATAATGTTTCCTAGGTTATCTTTCCACAAATTCTTCGTATTTATTTCCTTGCAGAACCAAAGTTTCCATTTGATAAGCAGCATTGGTATCTTCTGTTTTAGGTTTCATCACATTCTCAAACCAAAGATCAGTTAGCACAACTCTTGGAAGAGAAGAATTCTGTTCAGAAAGAGCAGCAAGACAGGATAAGAGCACTGACAGAGATGCTGGTGACTTCATCCTCTTTTTTGCAAGAACGGGAGCTAAAGGCAAGTATGAAGATTAAATCTTGCAGAAAGTTAGAAAACATTGCTTGTTTTGGAATTGTTATGTTTGGGAGGATGGGCAATGTTTGTGTAAACATAAAGAACTCCCATTCTCTTAGCCTTTCAGAAGGGCATTAAGATTTAGCTTTTTATTCAGGCATTGGGATGCAGTGAGTATGTCTGGAGTAGGTTTTTGGACATCCCAAGGGGGTGATTAAGAGGCCAGGTTTTGTTTAGATTTTTGTAGTAATGGCTTTTATTCATGTGATGATACAAGAAATAAGATAAATCTCAAAACAAATAGCATGTCTTAAATTCTAGATCTTTTAAATTCTAAAAATGCCTCTAATGTATTCAGGGTTAATCAAAAATTGATACCTTAAACATGAGATATATTTTAAGGCACTCTCGATTTAGACACTGAAATAGCAAAAATATGGAAACTCTTCTTTTCCATCTTGGTGATAGAATAAGTAGCTGCACTTGTATGAAATGGTATTTTTGATGGTTCTGCAACGGTTTGAGAAAATAGTAAAGACTCCTCTAATTCAAACTCATCTGCTGTCTTCATAAAACAGTCTTCAGTTGACAATTCATGTTTGTCAGAACTCTTATCTCTGTTTCTCAAGCTTATATACTAATAGCATATATCACCTCTAGACAAAACTTTAGCATTGCTTGTCGGGCTGCTCTAAATTAAGACTAGTAGGTCATAATGTCAGGTGCTGTTACATTTACAACTGCTTTACTCCTTACCTGTCAAAGTTTTCTTTAAAATCAACATTGCCAATATGTTTGCCAAAACTCCAACAACAGTTTCTGCTAGAGTTCCTGACTCTACAGAGAACAAATATCAAGTCCTTTTATTTATAACAGGTATAATGTACTTATTATATCAAGTCCTTTCTCTAATCCAGTGGTTCTCAACCTGTGGGTCGGGACCCCATTTGGGGTCGATCGGCCATTTCACGGGGGTCGCCATTTTTTTTGTCCGCCATTTTTTTCCCCTTTTCCGGCGGGTGCCTTACCTCCCTTGGGCTGGGCCAGCTGGTGGTCGGCCTGCTCCATCTCTGCCGCTTGCCAGCTACGCCTCGGCCGGCGCAGGGGGCGGAACCACGCATGTGTGGCGCTCCCGGGCAGGGAAAGTCCTCGACTTACGACCGGTTGGGTAGTCCTCGACTTACGACCGGTTTAGTCCTTGACTTACAACCGGTTGGGGTCGCGGCATTAAAAAGGTTGAGAACCACTGCTCTAATCGGTAAAGGTTTATTAAGACTTCATGTCTCAGAATTCCTCAATCTTCATGTTGGCTAAGAAATTCCCAGCCTGTTTGAAGTGTGAGAAAGCTTGGCCAACTTATTGTGTATATGTGTGCTTATTTTAATTTTATTCTTAATTTAAGGCTAAAAAGAAGAGGCGTGTGACCTGGGCCCCTGGTCCTCTAAGCCAAGATGGGGGAAAGCCTTTCTTGGAAGAGTTTCCTAATAGAGCTAAACGCTTTAAAACTTCTCTATCTAGTGTTACAGAGATGGAAGAATGTAAGTTCTTTTCCCTAAGAAAATGTTTCAATAGACTCCTATATCCTAAAAGGAATATACCAATTAATTGTGGCTTTGTAGCAAATCAAGATTTGTCATTTGTAGAAAATTGGTAATAGTAAATGCCATCATATGCCTCTTTAGAAGACGTGCTTAGTCTACATGTTAATTGCCTGATGCTGTTGACTTCTGTTAAATATGGGATGGACTGTGGAGGATGAAATTCCAGGCTTAAAGTACAGGTGGTCCTCATTTAACAATTTTTTATTCAGTGAGTGTTTGTACCTACAGGAGACCATGTACTTATGGCCACTGCAGCATCTCCAGAGTTATATGATCATGATTTGAGACCTTCCCTGCTGGCTTCCTACTAACAAAGTCATTTGGGAAGCCAGCAGGAAGTTGGAAGTTGAAGTCAAGTGTGGTCCTCGCTTAACCACCTGGGCAGTCTTCGTTTAACAGCGACTGGGACTTCCAGAACTGCTGTCACTAAGCAGCATGGTGGCTTTTATATTATAAATTTTTTATTAATTTTTGTAATTGAACAGCAGATAACAATATGATGCATTTACGTACACAAACAAAAAAGATAATCCTACTCAAAACATTTTCGGAGACGCTCGGCAGTCCCCGCCTTGCCTCCACCCTCAGCAGCATGGTGGCTTTTGACTTTGCATTGTTTAGGAGCAGCATGGTTTTTTTTTCTTTAAGCACATCACTTAACAGAATTTTTGGTCCCAATTAACGTTAAACAAGTACAGTTTCTCTCTTATTTGCTCTGAAAGAAATCTGAATCTGGCAGCTGTCTCTAGAGATTGAAAAGACCTGACTTTCCAAATACATTGATCTGGCAGATGCTTCTGCCCAAGGCACTCAGCATAACAAGGCTAGCATAACATCTGTATTGCTCACTAAGACAAAAGCGACTTCATGGAGTAAAACATCTATCCAAATCAAATGGGATGGAAAAGTGCAAGCTTAGGTTGCATAAAATTCAGTTATCTGATATAAAAACAATTTAGAGTCTAATGGAATGGTTGCCACTTGGTGACAATTAAGGAGGCCAAAAGTAGCTATTTTCTATAAAAAATATTCCATAGAATTTCCATTTAATTTTATCTATTTTGGGGTTGGGTATTTTTAATTCTTAGCTGTCTCCTCGGAATTCTCAGAATATGATGATCAATGCCTGACAGCCAGTATTATAATGCCTGAGGAAGAATGGATCCCAAGACCTGAAATAAATTTTGTAAGTATTAGGGACTGATTGCAAAAAAAACCCAAGCAGAATTTGCCGAGAGAGTTGGATGTATTGTCGAACCAATTTTTCCCATGCAGTGGGCAAACATGCTTCAGTGGGGTAGAATTGCACATTAAGGGAAAATACAGCCTGTCGAAAGCTCTTCCCCAATGTATTTTTTTTTTATGCCAGCAATGTCTTAATAGGCCTGTAGAGGAAAAAAGGGAACAGGTTTCACTTTTCTTATTTTATTTATTTATTCCTAACTAGATCTATATGATTACAAATCCAATAAAATAAATGTTATTTGCATATTATGTGTAAAAAAAATGAGCTTTTCTTCCAGTTGGGAACATAATTTGATGATGAAGCATAATTTGATGATTAGTGCAATTTAGGCAACAATCCCTTTTAAGTTCCATTATATTTGATATTTTGCAAAGTAGCAGAATGCTTTTGTCCACTGAAATGTTTTTTGTTCTAGACTTCTAAAGACTTTGCCGAGTCTGTTGATCTTTGCCAAAGCCTCTTAGAAGAAAGGGTGAGTCCTTTTTGTAGGTTGCAGGATATTCAACAGAAGTTATGGGTGAAAGATGTAATTTCCTCCATTCCTTTCTTGGCCAGGATAATGCTGTCACTGAACAGCAAGCCATAAAAGCAAAACTTGATAGTGTGTGCTTGGAGAAAGAACAGCTGGCCTATGAACTCAGAGAGCTGCGTGAGAAAATATCAACCAATGAGTTTGTGGCCCTTGAGAAACAGGCTTCTAAAGAGCAGGAGGTAAGGGGGGGGAAGAATTGTTTGAAAATGAAACATTTGTATGCAAATGAAACATTTGTATAAGTTTTAAAAAAATACTTTCAATGTGAAGTGAAGTGAATAAACTGCCGGCCCATGGGCCAGATGCATCATAGTAAAACCGCGCCTACCCCATTGCCGGCAATGGCAAAGAAGTCACGACATGTCGCAACATGTCACGTGATGTTGCACGTTTGACACCCCTGGAATAGACTAAACGCCACTGCAGTTCTTTCAGAACATGTAAAATTATGAGATTTTTTTTCCAACTATTTTACAGTAACTGGAATTGTTTTTTTAGATTTGATACAATGGCAAAATATTGTATATTTCAATTTGCATTCCGAGAATGTTCAGGATGATGACATTTATAGTAAGCCATCTCTAACAGTAGCAATAATAAAATCAGAAAAAATGCAAATGTATAATATCAAAACATTTTTTATCTTCAGATGTAGCTTTATCTCTTCCTTTGAATGAATTGTTTTCAAGTTTTAGTACTTTGTCATATGTCTGCACCTTTTTTCTGCCTTGAGATGGCAAAAATAATCAGTCATATAAACTAAACAGCATCTCTTGAGATGTGAGCCTTATCTTTCAGGTAGGAGTAAAATCCCATCCAGAATTAGAGAAACATCATATTCCATTGAATCAGGAATATTGATTCTTATTGTACTAAAAAGTATCCTAGTTAAATGGTTTCCTTGGGAAATTAGTGCAACCATGCTATAACTATAGATTAGATATCTATACTTCTAATGCATTCCAGTTATTTTTCCTAAAGGTGCTTTTTTTCGAGAGGCAACTGGACTTTCTTGTTTTTCTTTGAAGACGTTTCGCTTCTCATCCAAGAAGCTTCTTCAGCTCTGACTGCATGGTGGGGAATGGCAGTCAGAGCTGAAGAAGCTTCTTGGATGAGAAGCAAAACGTCTTCAAAAAAACCCAAGAAAGTCCAGTTGCCTCGTGGAAAAAAAAGCACCTTTGGGACAACCAAGACCTGGATGACAGAGAATCTCCATAGACATTCCAGTTGTTTAGGATCTCAGTTTCCAGATTTCCTCACCAACACATCTGGATACGAAATCTGGGGGTGAAAGTGTTATCTGGAGGACACAGACTAGAGCGAAGTGTTTGAGGCACACTGCACTATAACCTTGCTCTGCATCTTGCTCAAGGATCATCTGGGAATATGCATTTTCTCTCCCTCAATTTCCATTATGAAAGAATGGGACATAAATGTACTAATTTTAATGGAATATAAATTACTAAAGTAGAATTAAACTTCTTGTGACCAACCATGAAATATTAATCTTGCAACCAAGTCATTCTACTTTGAAAGACTGAGAAGTAATAACAATTATTGGATTTAAACATCTTACAACGCTAAGCTTTGCTTTTCACTAAGTACACATAATACATTAAGCCATGGTTTCACAACCAACCACAACGATTAAGTTTGAGATGAGCCAAAACATGGCTTATTTAATTTTGGTTTAGTGTTATGCATAAACCAAGTCATTATTGCACTGTGCCATGTACAAATCTAATCACTCTGGTATTGAGGTTGAGATTTTGTTTCCTAGAATTTTTCTCCAGTTTAAGATATGCATAAGCAGTATTTCTTGCAGTAACAACTAGATGCTTATCTAAAAATGAGTGGTTCTAACAGAATCTTTTAATGCAAAGGCTGCTTATCTTTCTTATGGTGATGGATTGCAAACTAAACTGATGGGTGCTTCATAACTGCTTTGCTATTTGCTTCACTTGCTCCACAGATGCAACTAATGCATGAAATTACCATCTTAAAGGATATAATTTCAAATGCAGAAATATACAATCAAGACCTTCAGGTGAGGTAGTGGTGATTGCCTGGCTTCCCTATTTTTTTTTTTTTAAATGGAATGGTGATATGAATGGGGACAATTCCTTTGTATTTAGTATAGCATGTATTGAATGTGTTTGAGATATTCCTTTTTGTGTGTTTTATAGCAAGAAATAAACTCAAAAGATATGCAGTGCAAGGAACAAGAGGAAAGAATCACAGTATTGGAAGAGCACAATAAGAAACTTGAAAGCTTTGTAGAATTTAAAAAAGACACAAATGATGCAACCATTTTAGTAGTAAGTCTGAATCTTCTTAATTAATATTGTATTTAGTAAGTGAACTATAAAAGCATATTTTTGTGTATTTTATTCCTTCGTTACTAGTCGAAGTTCTTATGAATAGCTACATAGAATGGCAGTTACTTCCCTGTTGCCTTTTCTAGTCTATCAAGTAGAGTATCAAGTTTTCTGGGCACAGCAAATACTTTTGTAGAAGTTACAAAAGTTACACAAGATGCTAATAAGAACTCTTGTCAGTTGACACATTTTCACAATTTTCCATGAGTGATTGGAGAATGCATGATATTTCTGTATGGTTAACATACGTCACTGTCCAAAAGTTTGCTTTGCTAGATGGATAGAGAGCGATGCAAATTCTTATGTTATTATCTCATTGGCCTGATTCACAAGGAGAGATAATTCTAAGCTATAATGTAATTTGTTTGGTTTGGGTTTAGCATATTGTATGAAGCTAGCAAATTGTTTCTTATTTAACAGAACTTGATTAAGAAAATCATGATTTTTTCATGTCTAAACCCAATCAAATAGAAACATGTATTGCATTTTCCAAGTAGTCATTAGAGACAGTATTCCAATAGTTAGCATTCATTGTCCATTTAGCAGTCTTGGAACAATTTTGTAAATACAATTAATCCTCGACTTACGACCACAATTGAGCCTAAAATTCCTGTTGCTAAGTGAGACATGTGTTAAGTGAAATTTGCCCCGTTTTACAACCTATCTTGTCATAGTTGTTAAGTGAATCACTACAGTTGTTAAATTAATGACTCGATTGTTAAGTGAATCTGGCTTCCCCATTGGCTTTGCTTGTCAGAAAGATATAAAAGGTGATCACATGACCCTGGGACACCACAAGTGTCATAAATATGATTCAGTTGCCAGGCATGTTGATCATATGACCATGGGAATGCAGCAATAGTCATAATTAGAAAAACGGTCATGAGTCAGTTTTTTCAGTGCTGTAACTTTGAATGGTCACTAAATGAAGTGTTGTAAGTTAAGGACTCCTGTATACAAATTTGGGGACAAAAATTTTTCTACAAATCTATGTAATTTTTTTCATATAAATATAATAGCATTAGTTAGCATATTATTAGCATATTATGGCTGAGGATGCATTTCTAAAGTGATTTCGACTTTCGAAGTTGTAAAAGTGATCAGAATTTCTCTAAAAAGTGAACATTTTGCTAATATTTTGTCCTGTTTTGAGATAACCAAAGTAACAAAATGAAGCCAGTATATATATATATGCTTTACCTCTGGTTTTGGAAAATTGAAAATCATCATGATGTGGAAACTGTGAAAATAAATTTATGAATCATCTTTGACTTTTCTGACCACAACCCACCAACCTGACAATAAAATTAGCTTTTGCTTGCAGCAAACTCCAAGGAAAAGCCTGGATGAAATGCAAGAGTTAAAGCAGTCTCTTAGAGATGCTGAAGCAGTTGCCCTGGATGCCAAGAAAGAATCTGCATTCCTCCGAAGTGAAAATCTAACACTGAAAGAAAAAATGGTAAAAAATAAATAAATAGTAGCATTAGCTGCTGAAAATCAGTTCCATATATTTTTTTTAAAAAAAAAAACACTTCAAAACTCCAGAACATGTTTGTAAAATAGCTATTTGTTTCTCATTAGAAGACTGTTATGTAAATCAGAGGTCCCCAAACTTTTGGGCACCAGGAATCGGTTACGTGGAAAGAGTTTTTCCGCGGACCGGAGGGGGTGTGGTTTTGTGTGCTGCCTGCATCCCGCCGATGGGGCTTTGCTTGTTTGTACGGCCGGGTTGCTAGCATGCCATGGCCCAGTACCGATCCATGGACCGGGAGTTGGGGACCCCTGATGTAAATGGCAAGCAAATCGATAAAAAACTTGAGGCATCTTTTCCCAGGATCTGATGTAGATGCAAGAAAAAGATAACATTAAGGAGTCTATCACATTAGAGATTTAAGTAGATGCTGCTGCCTTATAATTCCTAGAAGGAATCTAGTGACAATTTGGGGGGGGGGGGAGAGAGACAATGCTGCCTAAGATGGTTTTCCTGTAAGCCAGAAAGCGGAGATCACAGAACTCCCATGACAATGGTCCTCAGATATACAAGTTTGTTGTTGTACATTGCCAATTTGTACTTGGATGTTCATGTTCGTACTATGCTAACTCATCCCCACATAGAACCAGCTCTCAGACACTTACAATCAAATGGAAAAAGACCTTGGAAGCCTCAAGACCCAGTTAGAAGCTAGAAACGTCACCTATAAAAAAATGCAGTCTGATCTCCAAAAAGAACTGCAATACTACTTTCAAGAAAATGCAAAGCTGACATCACTGGTGGAAGTTAACAATTCAAAAGGTACTATTCACAGAAACCATTTCCCCCGCCCTTTACATAACCCCCAAATGCTGAGAAAATGTTTTATAACTTAGTCAGTAGAATGCTGGTAGGAATATTGGGAGTTATAATTCCAGCACATGTGGAGTATAGATTGAGTTGGGAAAGGTTGCATTAAATTAAGCTGCATTGATCGGGAAGGCTTCTGAGAAGTCGGAATGGGAAGGTGTCTTATTTTTTCTGTCTTGTTGCTTTACTTTTATTTTTTTAGGTTTTGTTTGTTTCTTTATTTGACTTTGTTTTTGCAGTTATTTCTTGTGCAGAGTTTGGGCCTCCTCCCCTTTCCAAATTGAGATTTAAAAAAAAAAATCTAGTGAAGGTGATAACTTGGTTTTGTAGTATTTTAAAGCTTATCAAATATACTTAGGTTGTCATGGTTCCAATAGATGAATCCAATAAAAGAATTTCAAGGCAAGAATTCTTCCTTAAAGAACATTTTCTTAGGAAACAAAGTTTCGGCACTTACATAGTCAAACCCAAGAATGAGATTCCCTCCTCCTAGATACAAAGTAACAAATTGCAAATCCCACCCCACAAAAGCTGTCATAAATCACATTCCCCAATTAGCACAAACAGCAGGCTTTTCTCTCTGGCCCCTCAGCCCACCAAAACCTTATCAGAACACGTCCTTGAGTTCCCACACTTCTACATTGTTATGGCTCGCTAAACCCTCAGGCATTTACCCCCTTCCCCCTTCTACATCTGAACTCTAAAAGAATAGAAAAGGCACGTTAAAAGCAAAAGTAAAAATGGCTGCTGGTTCTCAGTTATCAGAGCGATGACATCCATTGTCACAACGTTGGCATAGGTTTTCATGTACCTCATAAACATTTGATGAGACATTTAATTTAGTTGCAGCATCTCTCAACAAAACCATTGCAGCTACAATGAAAAAAATACTCTCAGGTATTTTTCCTCTTAAAATGGGTTGCATGTAGGAAGGACACTGGAATCCAGTTTGTACCAGCCTTCCTATATTTAACGAAAACAATATAACTGCTGCTCTGGAGTTTCAGAATTAAAGATTGCTCTGAAAATCAGAAGTCATATCGGTAGAATAGGAGTGAAACTCAAAATGGAGAAAGGAAACTGTAACTGACTAAAGGAACAGAGAGGAAATAAACCAAACTGTAGGAGCAGCAAAGGTTTAATTTTCAGGGATGCAAGGCAGAATGACTTTTGTTGTTGTGTCAGTATTTTCTGTTTCTTTCAGCGTTGTCATTTGCAAAACTCGGGATATAAATTACTCTATTTTAACAAGAAATTTCACCATACCCAAAATGTATAAAAAATAAAAACTGGGGTTATAGCTCAGAGATAGATTCTTTACTTTTGGAAGGGCCAAGATTTAATCTCCAGTATTTTTAAGTAAAGCTGCAAAAATGCATAAAAACCAAAGAGCTGTGAATGGTGTGGGCTCTCCCTGATGTAGCTCCCTGTGTATAGAACAATCCAGTCAGCAGCACAGTTGTCATTCATTTCTGTGATGAGTTTGGCCTCTCTCTTTTCCAGACTTGCTACCATGTGTGGATTTGGAAGGGAAAATGGGGGATTTAAAAAATGACCTACATAAAGCTTTGGAAGAGAATGTGAGTTTAAAGGAAAAGATTACTGCTTTATCAGAAGCAAATTCTGGATCAGATCTGGAAATCTTACATAAAGAGGTAAAATTATTGCATGAATCACTGGAAATTAGTCAATACCATTTTCTGAGGCACTATTATATTTTCAAGTGAAACACTTTCTCCTTTCAGAATAAAGTTTATTTTCTTTATTGTTTCCTAAAACAGACTTCTAGCACTAGTGAGCTATTTCAGCATTGCAAACAATTTTATTGACTTTTAGCAGAATTTTTTGTCCACTAGTAATTAGTTGGTAGGGCATTACATAGTGGTTTCAGAACTTGCTCTCAGCAAAATAAATAGTTGTCTCCTGGAACTGGTTCCAAAGCAGTTACCCAATTCTGAAAAAAGAGGCAGCTGCTTTAATGATTCAAAAGCAATGTTGTTTTGTTGCATTGTCTCCTGATTTCTTTCATATTTTGAGAATGGAATTTTGGGTGTTAGAGATTGCTAAAATTGGGAAATCCAGAATTTGTTAGAAGATAGGATTGATTGGCAATAGTGTGGTGAAGTAGTAATAGACTTCAGCTAGGAAAATAAAGCGAGTCTCTACAAGATTTCCTTTTAATATCAAGGCAAGATAATGATAGATAACCTTTTGATTAGTTTTGGAATAATGACAGACATCAAATTGATTCCAGTTAGAGAAGCAAACCTAGAAACCCAAAGAATTATCTTCCATTATTATCTAGTTAATTTTTAAAACGTAAGAAAGGCTGTAAGAGCTGTTCTCCAATATTTTGTTCATAATGTATGCCTTTGGTCTTATTAACAGATTGTTGAAAAAAATGAGACAATTGCTTTGCTGATGTCAGAAAAAGAAATGTTGCTCTCTCAAGTTGCTGAAAAAGAGAGAATGGTTCATGAAGCTACTCAAGCACTGGCATCCAAAATGGATTTAGCAAAGGATGAAGTGATAAGAGAAAACACCATAGCTTTTGAAGAACTCAGACAGCCGTGTGACAAATTGGAGCAGATGTCCTTAGTTGTGGCTGAAGAAAACAAATCCATGAAAACACAAATAGATTCCTGTTCCAATGAAAGTCTCAATACATCCATCAGTTATATCATCCAAGAGGTGAGTGCCCATTTTATAATATGATAAGTCAATAGATACATTGTCGGATCTTTTTGATGCCCATACCTGCTGATGTTAAATATATTATTGCTCATATATTATTGCACAAAGGGTTGGGTTATGAATATTGCATACTTAACAGGTCAGTCTGCAAATACAGGTAGTCCTCAACTTACAACCACTTGCTCAAATTTCTGTTGTTAAATGAGACATCTGTTGTGAGTTTTGCCCCATTTTACGACCTTTATTGCCACAGTTCTTAAGTAAATCAGTGCACTTGATTAATTAGCAGCCCGGTTCTTAAGTGAATCTGCCTTCCCCATTGACCTTGGGACACAGCAATGTTCATAAAAATGAATCAGTTGCCAAGTATCTGAATTTTGATCACCTGATTGTGGGGATGCTATAAAGGTCATAACTATGAAAAACGGTCATAAGTCACCTTTTTCAGTGCCATTGTAACATTAAACGGTCACTAAATAAATTGTTGTAAGTCGAGGACTATCTGTGCTGCAACTTATGGCGCCCAGATCTTAGCTGGAATCATTAAACTATTTTGTCTTGGCCTTTAATATCTGGGATGTCATTCCAGAAAGAGTTGTGCTGTTAATTGCTCGGTGTGCTGCCCATTTCAACAGCTGCAGAAGTGCACGCAGCCTTACCTCCATCAACAGGAATTAGCTGGAGTACTATAGTATGCTCATCTAACATGAAACTGCTAATTGTTTTGTCTTAACCTTGTTCATAAATGCTGTCATGTTAAACTATAACATAGGGGTCTTTTTTAGACACAGCATATTATGCGAATATAGGAACTACAACATGTTTGGTTAAATCTAGACTTGGGATTTGAAGCATTGTATGAATCCATACATTGTATCCAGGTTAAAGGAAGTATTACACCCATTATACTTTGTGTATCAAATTGCATCTAGGAACTCGGCCTACTGTGTTGGAATCTAGGTGCCTCTTGGTTATTATCAGTTTTCCAATTTCACATAGAAAGTGAAATGGAATTATCTGCTGCTGCTTTAAAGGAAAAGATTTAGCAAGAAATGTCCTATGGCAAAACAATTGCCTTTTATACCCAATATACTGAGAATTTATTAATCATGGGTGCAAAACAGACAGATGCATAAATTGAGTTATCAGCCTCTGAAATACCTTTCCTGTTAAGTCCTCAGTATTAGCATTAGCCCCATGTATATTCCATGGCTGTGCTATGCATCTACTATTTTTTTATACTAAAAGTTCAAGACAGGGTTAATTATGATTCTAGCCTGGTTCAGGGTATATGCAAGGCTGCTAGAAGTCTTGAATCTTACTCTCTCCACGGTGTTAACTATTGATACAAGATCATTGTTTAAGAGAATGTTGTTACAATACACTGGAAAATGTCTTTGTGTAGCAGCATCACTTTTACATATAAGATAGATAGATAGATAGATAGATAGATAGATAGATAGATAGATAGATAGATAGATAGATAGATAGATAGATAGATAGATAGATAGATAGATAGATAGATAGATAGATAGATAGATAGATAGATATAGATATATATACACACACACATACATACATACACACATATATATTTGATGGTATAAGGAGAATGTAAAGGAGAGAAACTGATTCTTAATCATTTGCAAGCAGTTCATTAAATTATTGCGAAAGAAAATTAAATACAATTACAAAATTTGACAACTTTTGATGTTGCATTTTCAATGTATTAAATTGTGTTTAACATATATACTATAATCTAAAATATCAAAGCAATCTAGCAAAAATGGAGAATTGCAAGAGAAGGACTTAGAGCAAGAGGTGCTACCTACTCTTAAAGAACAACTGGATGAAGCTCATCAGAAGCTGAATGAAATGGAAGAGCTCAAAGATCAGCTGAAGGTTTGGGAGTCTAAAATGGAAACTGAGGAGGCACAAAAGTTAGACATGATGCAAAGCCTTCAGGAAGGTAAAGAAAAAATAAGAGTCTTGACCGAAGAAATAAATGACTTCAAACAAAATCAGGAAGTCCTTGAGAAGGAGAGAGATCAGCTCAAAGAAGATATACAAGATACTATCTGTATGGTAAGCTAAACACAGCAGATAAACAGTAGACAAATAGCAGGTGGCTTTATAGTAATGGACCCTATTTATTCTTTTGGAACTTTTAATTGATTGGGTATGGTTGGGAGTCAGCAAGGAAGAATTGTATTCAGTGATATCACTAAGTGCAGGCAAAAATATTGGTCTTTTAGGGAAGCTAAGAGTGATAACAGGTACATCATGCCTCACAAATGCTGAGCATGGCCATTTCCATTCTTACCTTACATTCATTTTACGTGTGCTTTTCAGAAAAATGCAACCAAACCTTGCCTGTTGGTTTGCTGAATCTTCGTACTCGATAAAGGTGTTTTGGAGAAAAATTAGGCATTTAATCAATGGAACAACTTGCCTCCAGAAGTCGAGGGTGATCCAACCCTGGAGGTTTTTAAGAAGAGACTGGGCAACCATTTGTCTGAAATGGTATAGAGTCTCCTGCTTGAGCAGAGGGTTGGATTAGAAGATCTCCAAGGTCCCTCGCAACTTTGTTATTCTATTGTTACCACATGTAATATCAAATTGTCCATCCTTGTATCAAGAAAGCAATCAAGTGTAGAAGAAAATATTTTTTGCCCCCCACAATTCTAATGCATATATATGTATATTTTTTCTATCTTTTTGTGAAAGAATATTGAAGCTCAGGAAGGGTTCATGAATGCTCAGAATTCTTTGAAGCAGTGTCAAAAGCACATCAAAGAACTTGAAGAAACCATTGCAGAGAAAGACCAACAAATTTCAAGAGCTAAGGAAACTTTTGAAATCACGACTGATGATCAAAAACAACAGGTAAGAGATATCTGTAACAGAAATGTATTGACAGAATAAAGTTTTGGTTAAGTTTCTTGATACAGGACATTCATTTTCTGTTAGATGAAAGGCTGCTCATTTATTTTCTCTAAAGAACTTATGGAAAAATATATTCATTGCAGATATTGCAGATACTGCAGATACTAAAATTAGCAGACAACTTGGAAGACGTCTCGGTAAAAAAAACTCAAAATGAAGGTGATATAAATCAGATTGTGCTAGACGTCAACAATGAACTTCAGCATATCAAGGAGCACATTATCACTCTCCAGCAAGAGAAGATGGTATTGCAGCATCAACTGGAGAATTTGGAAAAGGAAAAGAATCAGTATCTAGAAAGCAACCAAATGGTACATATCAATCAATGTATTTATTGTTCTGACCCGCCTGTTGTAACAAATAAGATCAAACTTGCACCAAAGTGCCCAAACATTAATAAAATACATTAAAATGTACCAAAATCAATAAAAACATCGAAACAGTATTACAGGAAATGAAATACTAGAAAACATTAAGAATGTTTGATAAAATAATCTCTCTGTTTAATAGCATACCATGTAAAACTTGCTAATTTAAATGAATGCTTGATAACAACTTGTGGACTGGAAAATTAAAACAAAATCAACTCCGCTGACATTTGTGACACTGCCTATTTCACAACCAGTCTGCTGATATAGATAGCTATAGCAATAGCACTTATATACTTCATAGTGCTGTACAACCCTAAGTGATTGTATATTGCCCCCAACAATCTGGGTCCTCGTTTTACCAACCTCTGGAGGATGGAAGGCTGAGTCAACCTTGAGCAGGTCAGGATCAAACTTCTGGCAATTGGCAGAGTTAGTCCTCAATACTGCATTCTAAACACTGCGCCACCACGCAGTGAAGTCACGGTTAGGTAACGTCTAACCATCAAAAGGTTGCTAGTCTCTTTTCTGAAACCATGGCATATTCTTTCTTTCCTACCTTTCATAGAAAATTTAAAAATCAGAAACGTGCATCATTTGATCTTCATAAACATTCTTTCTCATTTCCAACAGCTACAAACAAAGTCCTTTGACCTGCAGCAGTCACTCCAGATGAATCAGCAGAATGTGGAAAATTTTGATGACACAGATCAGCTAAAAATTAGTCTTGAGTCTCAAATGGAAGACCTGCAGAAGGAGAAAGCCGAGCTGGTTCAGAAGCTTCACAGCACTGAAGAAGACATCAAATACATTAGCCAAGAAAAAGAGCATCTGAGAATAGAGGTAGAGGTTCTTCAAGCTGAGAAAGATACCATAACTCAAACTGTCCACCATCTGGATGAGACTATAGAGAAGCTGATTCCAACGGTAAGAATTCAATTGCTGCCACCTTTGGGGTAGATACTTTTTATTGGATTAGGGTTTAATTTAAATGTGGTGGTTGACTTGATATCATGTGGCTTTATTTTTGTTAAAGAATTTGGAACTGCAGGAGCAGTTGAAGGAGGCTAATAATTCTCTCAGTGAACACAAGGAAATGGTAGAAGAACTGAAAGGAAAAATCATAGCCACAGATTCTCAGACTTCAAAAATTCATGAGGAGTTGAAACAAAAGGTAAGAAAATGTGTGTGACATTTTAAAAGCATTGCTATTATTTATTGGATTTAAAGGCCGCCTGCTTCCAGAATAATTTTGTTCAGCTTATATTTTTTAAAAGAGAAAAACAAAGAAAACACTGGAAGCATTTGGAAAACTATATTCCATATATCCCTCCCCAAAAATAAAATTCCACCACCAACAAGGCTCCTCAAAACCCTTACCGTAAGGCCTTTAAAGATTCTTCAGATATTATCAGGGAAGGAGCTACATTGATCTCGGAAAGGATAGGCAGAAACCCTAAGACAGACATGTCAAACCCGTGACATCGCGCAACGTATCGGAGCTTTTTTGCCATTGCCGGCAATGGGGTGGGCGTGGTTTCCTGATGACGCATCTGGCCCGCGGGCCGGCAGTTTGACACCCCTGCCCTAAGAGATATGCAAATACAGCTTTATATATTACAAACAGCACTTTGAATTGCACCTGGAAACTCACTGACAACTAGTGTAGTTCAGTTAGCATTAGTGTTCCATGGGCATTCCAAGGAATTCTCAGCAGTGCCCCCACTGCTGCATTCTGAACCAACTAGCTTCGAATTGGTCTTCAAAGGCAGCCCCACCTAGACTGCTTTGCAGTAATTCAATTTAAGGTGACTAGGACATGGGAAACCAACTGAAGGGTTTCCTGATCCAGGAATGGATGCAATGGTGACACCAGATGAAATTATGCAAAGATACCCTTTATCATACTTGCTACCTGCTCTTCAAGTAGGAGCAGCATGTACCAGATGACCCAGAGATTAGGCGCCAATCGTGAATAGGGGAGTGTAATCTCATCCAAGACTAAAGATGGAATGAACTCAAATATGGGGTGCTCAAAAGTCCACAGCCACTTGGTTTTGTCAGGATTGAGCATGATGCTTTAAACATCTGTCATTTAAAATTCTCCAGTGCCCTAGCCAATAATTTTCATTCTAAATTTCACAATTATTGAAACTTTTGGTGTTTTCTTGCATTACATTATAAAAAACTGATGTGCCGACTGATTTTATTTCATGATGTGATGAGTTTTTTTCTTTTTCTAAATATATATTTAAGGCTGAAGATACTCAATTAGAACTGGAGAAATTGTTAGCATATGTAAAATTACAAGAACATGAAGTTAATACACAGAAGAATTTAGTTCTTGAGAAACAACAGATGTTTCAGAAAATTGAAGAGGAATTTAAAGAAGAAACAAAAAAACTAAAAGGAAAAGTAAGTAAATGACAAGCAGAATAATGTTCATAAATATGGCCTAAAAATTCAAAATGATTTTTTTTGAAGTAAGTTCAGAGGTTTTTTTCGACAATATGCCCTTTTATATTTCAAACTATTTCTAAAAGCCTCTAATTTTAAAAATTCAAGATTGTACAGATGAAAAGGAACTCTTATGCCAAAATTACACAGAACATATTCAGAAAGTAAAATTGATTATGAGTTGTAATGATGATAGCTTTGAAAATGGGATTAATAGAGGAACGGAGCATTTTTCCAAATTACCAGAAGATTACCATGTTATCTTGCTGATGTCTTCTGAGAGGAATTGGTCTTAAGGGAAGAGAAAGCTAAACTGGATAGGACTTTGGTTTAATCTACCATGATTTTTCCACATTCAGAGAAGTTTGAATTTTTCTTACAAAATCTATAAAAGAAATTAAAACTTGGAGAGAGGGGTGTATTCTGTTTCATATTTGGTGTTTTCTTCCTGTAAGCCACCCAGAGTCGTCATAAGTTAGTTGGGCAGCCATATAAATTTCTTTAATAAGCAAATTTAAATTTTGTCCTGATTCAACTGATCAATTTTCAGTTCAATCTGTACTGAAAATCCTGCTGCCAAAGTCATTTATAAAGCAAAGTTCTAACCTGGAAGGATGTCAACCATGGTTTGGCCAGTTCCTGTTCATTTTTTTTTCATAAATGTTATGGTGGATCACTTAGATTTAACTTTCTAAACACATCTCTTTTCAACTTTACGTAGACGTAGAGGAGCACTGGTAGCTCTGGTTCAATTTTGCAGGGAGAATCATTTGGACACAAACCATCATAGTTCCAAAACTCTGTTATTTGCCAGAAGACCTAAGGGAAAATGAGTTAAATTCTTGGACATGGTTTTCCATGATAGCTCTAAGTAGGTCGTAGCAGGTATCTTGCACAATACCCCCAGAGAATAAACTACCACCATTCTAAAAATTTTATTAAACTGATATTTGCAAACCTTAAACTATAAACTTAAGCAAACTCTGTGGCAAAAAAATTACGGTATTCGGTTGTGTCTCTTTTCAAGCTCTATGCCAACTCCTCTCGGAGCTCAACTCAAATTCTAAGTCCAGTGTTCTAAATTTCCAAGTTTGGCTTTTAAAATGGAGAATGGCTGGCTGAATGAGAAGGCCAGAATATGTTGTCTGCATTCAGGTCTAGCCATTCCTGCATACACCAACCATCTTGTAACAATTTTTGCTGGTCAAACTATTATCCTTTGAGCTCTCCCCTCTACCCATAGTTACCTTTTTTTAAAAAATAACCTCTATATGACAAACAGACCATTTTTTATGTAGCAGATAGTTGACACAGGGCACCAAACTGTCTTACACAGGGCTCTAAATCTCACAGTCACTGAAAATCTAAAATATATAGTAATGCTTTTTTATACATGCTTTCTAGAACAGCTTTCGGCTTGCTGCGATGCCAGCTTTTTAGCAGTATTAGATGGAAAATAAAGAAATATTCCCTTCTAGGCACATATATGCCCCATGACACTGGACCAAGTTAAAATAACCAAGTAACATTTTTTTCTTTTGCTTATTTTATGGAGATCCATGGTATTCTTCATTTCCCTATTCTCAATGCTGCTAGGCTTATCAGATTAATTCTATATCCTCCACTACTCTCTGTTGTTAATCTTCTTACAGCACATAATGTTTCCAAGTAGAACCAATCTATCTCAACACTTGCCAGGCGATTACACTGCCATGTCCACCTACATAGTTTTATAAAGCTCTTACTTTATTTTCTTCTTTAACTCTTCAATTGTACAATATATTTTATTCATCAATTGAATTGTGCCTAAACTCTAATCTTAGGAACTGACCCTTATAACTTTTTGGCAGTTTTTAGCTTTATATCAGTTTGTTTGGCTTTTACCATACCATCTTTTAAATTGTTATCTTCACAAATTCCAAAAATGATGCTTTTATTGCCGGGTAAAGAATAAAATGTGGAAACCATGCCCACTATCCTTTGGGGGGGGAGGAGAAGATTTAAATCAAAAGTCGCTCTTCTGCAGCTCTAACATTATAATCAGTCTCTGGGAATCTGTTCTAGGAGACTCCAGTAATTGGAAATGTATGGCAGTTTTCTGTCATGTTGAAGCAGAGAACAGGGGTATAAGCCCCAAAATACACTTGGCATCATTTTTAAAAGGGTGAAACCGCCTTGTAATGCACATGCGGGGAAAAAAAACCAGAAAAAATCCTGACATCTATGACGTCCCATTCCTTCATCAGCCTATCTATTCTAAACCTTGTGTAGATAAAAATGTTAGCTCTGGATTCTGAATATTTAAAAAAATGTCTCTGCTCTACACTCTTGGTGCCCTTCTTCCAGTATTTCTAAATAATCAGAAGTTTTGGACTTACTCCCAAATAATCAGGAGTAAATGCAAAATAGCCTAATTCTTCTTCGTGGAAATCATGTTTCAGATCCAACATCTGGAAAACAATTCCTTCGAGCTGCAGCAACTGCTCCGCCTGAAAGAAGAGGAGAATCAGCAGAATGTAGGGAGCATGAAGGATGCAGATCAGCTGGAAGTTATCCCTGACTCTCAAATGGAAGCCCTGCAGAGGGAGAAAGCCGAGCTGGTTCAGAAGCTTCAGAGCACTGAAGAAAACGTCAAATACATCAGCCAAGAAAAAGAGCATCTGAGAATAGAGATGGAGGTTCTTCAAACTGAGAAGGATAACATGGTTCAAACTGTCCACCGTCTGAGTGAGACTATAGAGAGGCTTGTTCCAGTGGTAAGAATTAATTAATTAATTAATTAATTAATTAGTTCCATTTGTTTGCCGCCATCTTGTTTCAAAGCCACTCTTAATTTGCTGCCACCTTTGCCATCCTTTTTGTTAGATTAGGATTTTATTAAAATGCGGTGGTCAACTTGATTGCATGTGACTTTATTTTTTTGTTGTTGTTAAAGAATTTGGAACTGCAGCAAGAATTGAGGAAGGCTAATAATTCTCTTGGAGAACATAAGGAAATGGTAGAAGAACTAAAAGAAAAAATCATAAGCACAGATTTTCAGAATTTGAAAATTCATGAGGAGCTGAAGAAAAAGGTAAGAAAGATGAAATTTTAAATGTTTTAATACTAAGGAGTGTCTGCTGTTTTAAACCACCCCCACCCCATTTCCCCTGGTCAATTTTCCTTATTTAAATTAAAGGAATTGGAGGAATCACAGCTGCAGGAATTCTTAATATTTTTTTGTTTTGTTCAAAAGGAAATGCAACTGATGTCCTGAGTCGTTGTATTTCATAATATGATCTCTCTGTCTCTCTCTCTCTTTTTACACACATATATATTAAGAGTGAGGATAGTCAACTTGAACTAGAGAAATTGTTGATGTATGTAAAATCACAAGAAGATGAGGTAAATACCCAGAAGAATTTGGTTCTTGAGAAACAACAGATGTTTCAAAAACTTGAAGAGGAGATTAAAGAAGAAACAAAGCACTTGAAAGAAAAAGTAAGAAAATTACAACTCTCAGTTTTATTTTTATTTTTTTAAAAAAGAAGCCTGGATAGGTAAAAAGGAACCATTTTGTTAATTTACATAGCACATATTCATACTGTGAAACTGAAACTGAACCAGGATTAACCAAATTTGGAAGCATTCAACAGCTATTAGACTATAATAGTTTTGTACCATCTTCCATTTCAACAGCAGCTTCTTTCTGAAGACCAGTGTCAATGGGACACATTATCCTGCTCATGTCCTTCTTGTGGGCTTGCAATCACAGTCTAATTGGCTTCCAAGAGACTGGATTTGAGTTTGATTAGATTGGACTGGACTCTTTCATGCTCTTAGAAGTTAGACAAAATTACAAAATATATAAATTACATTAAAACAAATTTAAATTTTGCTTGATTTAACTTTGGATCATGCAACTTGAAAATCAAGTGAGATCTTATCTGACAAATGTGTGGGGTCCTGATCCATACCAAACATTCTGCCCCCAAGGGTATTTATCTAGGATGTCAAACAACTTTATTTACTTCCTCCACTCCTGTGGACTTTTCATTAAGTTCAAACTGGGTCACTAGAGGGATCTGAACTTTCACATGTGCATAGACATGCACATACCATGTTGTTAGAAAAACACATGCCTATTCTGCTTTATGCAGACAACTCTCTAATTCACTGTACCAGTCCAAGTGTGGTTTAACATAAGAATTACCTTTTACTGATTAAAAATGAAAGAAGGATTATTTCAAGTATTGATTAGCCATTATTTTTATTTTTTTTTTGTAAACAGGTTTTATTGTTTTTTTCCATGTTTTACAAAAGCTTGGGACACAACGTGGTGGTCAGGGTGACAAATCATTCGAAAACAAAATCATATAAGTATAGCTCAGATTAATTATCAAAAATTTTCTCTCTATTTCCTAAATATAATGTTGCTTATTAAAATTAATAGAGTTTTAGGTAAAATTCAATCAAGCAAAAATCATCAATCACATTGCGATTATAATAATCTATATCCTGTTTTTAAGCTTTATTAATTACAGTTCTCATACTCCAATTACCTTTTAATGAACATATAGTTGGGATTTCAGGTATCCTTAGTGATAAATCATTCATTGGGACTAATTTTTTTCCTATCACAAATAGCTCTTCCTCTCTCTCTATTACAACATAGTTATCATATTTAAAATAATAATATAATTCCAACCAATACAATTCCATTTTTAAGAATATATTCTGTCATTTCATCAATCTACATCTGTAAAAAATATTTTTAACCCCTTTAATAACGTTTAGATCTTCAAATACTTATCAGCTATAATATCAGAAAATTCCCATCCTTCATTCATTATTAAATCAGACAAAATATCTCTCTATTACAGCATAATTATCATGTTTAAAATAATAATGTAAGTCCAACAAATACATTTCTATTTTTAAAAATATATTCTATCATTTCGTCAATCTACATCTATAAAATCTTTTTAACCCCTAATAAAGTTTACTCCTAATAAAGTTTACTCCTTCAGCTATGATAACAGTAAATTCATATCCTTCATTCGTTATTAAATCAGACAAAATCTCTAAAGCCTTTTTAACCCATCAAGTAACATTTTATATCACGTTTAAACCTAACTCTAGCTATCTTTCTGAGCCAAGTTGGTTCCCATATTCAGTTATCGAGCCTCAAAATTTGGTTGCAAAAATTTCTGACCAATTCAAACTGAACAAAGTTTTCTTCCCTTTCTGCCAATATCATCTGAATATTATATTCACTTTTATTCCATGTTATAGTTAAAAGTAAGTTATCTGCTTTGTTGTAATTTTGTATCTGGATGTCAATCTCTATTATTTTTGGTAGTTGAACTGAATCAATTACAGTGAATCCTTGGTCATCGAAGTTATCCATCAGTTGTAGGTAACGTTGTGTAAAATTAGTTGGCTCAGTGATTTCTGCATTTTCTCCCAGTGTAAGTTCACAACTGGATTGCAAGATTAGCCATTATTTAATCTTAACTGATATGTGGCCTCTTGCTTAGGGAAAGTCTTAAAAAATAAAATGAAAGCCAAGCTTATTCTGATTGTAGGGGTGTCTGATGGAGGAGGTGGTTAAACAAGAAGATGATGGTGGCTGCAACTGTGCAGTCATGGCACACACAAAAAATGCAAAACTTTAATTGCATAATCATAGCTTACATCTTGACTTTTAGGAACCCCTGCCAATACCCCAGAAGAACTGAGTTGCAGTAGGGGAAAATTTAGAAATTCTAGAAATTTAGAGGTATGGACAGATCACACAAATTTAGAAGCACTGAAAACTCCCCGCAAACTGTCCCCAAAGCAAGTGCGGTGGGCACAGTACTTTAACCGCTTCAACTTCACTCTAAAGTACATACCCGGAGGAAAGAACTTCCTAGCTGATGCGCTATCCCGGCTACCCCAATACAAGAGCGAACGGGAAGAGGTTAACGAGGCAATTATCCCCAATCCACAAACTGCCACTCAACTTACACCTCGCAGGGTCCCCAATCCTGATGACCCTGGAGCAAAGAAAATAAAATGAGAACTCCTCACCGACCAATGGTTCAAAGATAATCAGGCCTCCCTAACGTGCAGGGATGGTTTGGCTTACATGGGGGGAAAACTATATTTGCCAGAAGCCCTCCGTCTTAATGCTCTCAAACACAGTAGGTAAGAAATACAAAAACTGCTTTAAAAAAGACTTTTGAAACTTATAAAAAACAGGCTGATAGAATGGAACGGAATGTATAATCTAATTGGACAAGTGATTACATTTTGAAGGTTGCCAATTTATGGACTGCAGTGATTATAGTAATGTTTATATTTGTACAGTTGTACCATGTATTTTAAATATTTACTGCGCTGGAAAGTTAGGAAAATAGCATTTATGAATCAAAAATAATTTGAAATATTTAAAAAGAGCATTCTAAGGGCTTCAGCTGTTTAGGGAAACAAAGAAATTTTAATTTCCTTATTGTTTACCATAAATCTTGACTTTGATTTAGTTTTCCCTAACTGTGCATCCTCCATATTTTGACTGTGAAGGGAATTAAAAAACTGCTGTTATCTCTCAAAAGAACTAGCTGGGGCAGGCTGCTGTAGTAATGGTGTAACATTTAATTTCTTAGATAATAAAATCAAATGAAGAAATAAGCAGCCTTACTGAGGAAAAGACACAATTGACAGCCGAACTGAGAGAACAGGAGAAATGTGTCCAACAGCTACTGAAAGAGAAGTCCTTGCTTCAAAAAGAGAGAGATGACCTTCAGCAGGTTATGCAGAACTCTGGAGAAAAAATTCAAAGCCAACTTCAGGAGACCTTATCTGAAAAAACTGCAAAGGTATGTGATGCTTTCCAATGATTGGAATTATGTCTGTACATCAGTATTTTAAATAGTTACTGAACTGGAAAGTTGGGAAAATAGCATTTGTGAATCTAAAATAATTTGAAATATTTCAAAAGAGCACTGTAAGGGATTCAACTGTTTAGGGAAACAAGCTCATTTAAATTTCCTTAGTATTGTTTACCGTAAATCCTGATGCTACACAGAGTTTGATTTAGTTTTCCCTAACTGTGTGTCCTCCATATTTTTACCTTGAATGATGGGGGTTTAAAAACTGCATTTATTTTCAAAGGGATTGGCTGGGGGAAGGCTGCTTTGGTAATGGTGTAACATTTAATTCCTTAGATAACAAAATTAAATGAAGAAGTAAGCAGCCTTACTGAGGAAAAGAAACAGTTGACAGCCGAACTGAGAGATCACGAGAAATATGTCCAACAGCTACTGAAAGAGAAGTCCTTGCTTCAAAAAGAGAGAGATGACCTTCAGCAGGTTATGCAGAACATTAGAGAAGAAACTCAAAGCCAACTTNCCAATGAATGGAATTATGTTTGTACATCAGTATTTTAAATAGTTACTGAACTGGAAATTTGGGAAATTAGCATTTTCTAGAATAATTTAAAATATTTAAAAAGAGTGCTCTAAGGAATTCAAATGTTCAGAGAAAGAAGCAAAATTTAATTTCCTTAGTATTGCATTGCCTTCCATTGAGGACTTGAATACTATACTATACAGGTTATAAACTGTTTCAACTCCTCCCCTCTATAGGGCATTGCATGCCAAAACAACTAGACACAGAGACAATTTTTCCCCTCTCTGCTGAACATCTAATCCTCACAGAACTGTCTTATGACTAAGAATATTTACTCATCTAATAAGGCTGTATTACTATTATCCTTCTCTTTCCTACTACCTCCTCCTATTGGTATCTTAGGATTATATTACTTTGTTGTTTTTATGTACACTGAGAGCCTGTGCACCAGAGACAAATTCCTTATGTGTCCAATCACATTTGGCCAATATATTCTGTTCTGTTCTTTAAATAAAGCTTGATGCTACACAGAGTTTGATTTAGTTTTCCCTAACTGTGCATTTTCCATATTTTGATCCTGAAATATGGGGGCTCAAAACTGCTATCATCTCTGAAAGGCACTAGGTGGGGAAGAGAGATTTAGTAATAGTGTTACATTTAATTCCTTAGATAACAAAATTAAATGAAGAAGTAAGCAGCCTTACTGAGGAAAAGAAACAGTTGACAGCCGAACTGAGAGATCACGAGAAATATGTCCAACAGCTACTGAAAGAGAAGACCTTGCTTCAAAAAGAGAGAGATGACCTTCAGCAGGTTATGCAGAACATTAGAGAAGAAAATCAAAGCCAACTTCAGGAGAGCTTATCTGAAAATGTTGCAAAGGTACATGATGCTTTCCAATGAATGGAATTATGTTTGTACATCAGTATTTTAAATAGTTACTGAACTGGAAAGTTGGGAAATTAGCATTTTCTAGAATAATTTAAAATATTTAAAAAGAGTGCTCTAAGGAATTCAAATGTTCAGAGAAAGAAGCAAAATTTAATTTCCTTAGTATTGCATTGCCTTCCATTGAGGACTTGAATACTATACCATACAGGTCATAAACTGTTTCAACTCCTCCCCTCTATAGGGCACTGCATGCCAAAACCACTAGACACAGAGACAATTTTTCCCCTCTCTGCTGAACATCTAATCCTCACAGAACTATCTTATGACTAAGAATATTTACTCATCTAATAAGGCTGTATTACTATTATCCTTCTCATCTTTCCTACTACCTTCTCCTATTGGTATCTTAGGATTATATTACTTTGTTGTTTTTATGTACACTGGATTTGTCTTGTGCACCAGAGACAAATTCCTTATGTGTCCAATCACATTTGGCCAATATATTCTGTTCTGTTCTTTAAATAAAGCTTGATGCTACACAGAGTTTGATTTAGTTTTCCCTAACTGTGCATTTTCCATATTTTGATCCTGAAATATGGGGGCTCAAAACTGCTATCATCTCTGAAAGGCACTAGGTGGGGAAGAGTGATTTAGTAATAGTGTTACATTTAATTCCTTAGATAACAAAATTAAATGAAGAAGTAAGCAGCCTTACTGAGGAAAAGAAACAGTTGACAGCCGAACTGAGAGATCACGAGAAATATGTCCAACAGCTACTGAAAGAGAAGTCCTTGCTTCAAAAAGAGAGAGATGACCTTCAGCAGGTTATGCAGAACATTAGAGAAGAAACTCAAAGCCAACTT